GCACTTTATGAAAAATAATTTTATTATAGTGTTTTGGAAAGCCCTCGAGATAAGCTACAAGAATATGTAATAAAAAATATAGGATTCTATCTAAGAAATTTAAGGTAACCTTATTCTGACCTTGGTAACACTGTTCAAGGTCAAACTGATCAATGAATAGATTTTTTATAACTATTGTCTAAAACTTTTTTCTGTAAAACGTATACTTTTCGAGATTTTTCAGTGTTCCGATCTTTTTGGGATACCCTGTATATATATATATATGTGTGTGTGTGTGTGTGTGTGTGTGTGTGTGTGTGTGTGTGTGTGTGTGTGTGTGTGTGTGTGTGTGTGTGTGTGTGTGTGCGCGCGTGTGTGTGTGTATATATATATATATATATAAGAATAAAGGGGGTATCATTAGAATATCGCAAAAAATTTATAGATAAAGAAAATCTTGCAAATTTTAAAATCATCTTTATTTTTTGAATGATCTCAAGAATACAAAGTTTCACTGTGGATATCACGTTGCAGGACATCCTGCGTATATATACACATACATACATACATACATACATACATTCATATACAGGGTGTCCCATAATTCGCGAACCACCGGGAATGGGCAGATAGAGCGTGTTAAACTGAATAGAAAAGTCCTGTATCATTTTGCGATATTCGCAATAATTATTGAGTTATTAACTAAAATATCTAAACGAATGAGCGGGTAGAAAGCGGTAGGCCGGACTCGGTGTGCATGTCGGATGACTTATTTGTTATATGCCGCATAGTATCAAAAGTATCATCTTACTTTTCGGCGCCACTACATTGGTCGCCGCTCGCTGCATAACGCCGCCTTTCGATCAAATAATGCTTTCTACCTGCTTATTTGTTTAGATATTTTAATAAATAACTCAATAATTATTGCGAATATTGCAAAATAATACATGAATTTTCTATTCAGTTTAACACGCTCTATCTCCCCATAAAAGGTGATTCGCGAATTATGGGACACCCTGTATATATATATATATATATATATATATTTCTATATATATGTCAATCGTATATTTTGACGACGATTTTCGGTACAGATTGGACACTTTGACGACTTCTGGCTATTTTGACGACGGTCGTCACAATTTTATCAATAAATCGTATACTTTGGCGACGTCGTCAAACTAACCCGAAACAGAGGATTGACTAATTTGATGACATTGTATACTTTGACGACACTATATTTATTTTTTGGCGATTTTGACGACAATAAAAAAATATGTCAAATAAGAAACTAAAATATTCGACATATGATAAAATATGATAAAATATGATTGATTTTTTTATAAAAAATAACTAAATGACTTAAACTGGTTTAAATTGACTCTTATTTTGACGACATTAAACAAATACTTTTTTGTTTCGTATTTTAAAAAAACACAATGACGCGTTAGAATATTAATTAAGAAATTTGTACATTCAATGAATGTGTCAGAAAGACACTGCTTTATCACGTCATACTTAAATACAGTATATTATATTTATGTATATATTGTATTATATTTATGCAGTATATTGTATTATATTTATGCAGTAAATTATATTATATGTATCATATGAATATATCGATCTGTATCAAAAGATAAAAATCTTATAATACTTCTTTAGTCAATTAATCAATCTTACGATTAAATTGGACTGTGTATTTAAATATGTGCATAACTGTGTATATGACTTCCTAGAAAAATGAATTTGTATCACTAAGATAATTATATTTGTAATAATTAATAATGTAAATCTTTAAATATATTTTATATATATATATATATATATATATATATAATTATTACAAATATCATAGCGATACAGATTTATTTCTCCAGAAAGTTATATGTATAAATACACTGTCCAATATTAATGTAATTTTATAAATAATTAAAAATAAAGTATTACCAGATTTTATATGTACATAAGAGATATATATATCATTTTTGCGTCATTTTCCTATCGCCAAAAAATCAATGTGATAATATTTTTCGGCGCGGTATCATATGACGCGTCTCTCCTCGCTCGCCTCTAATGCGCCGCGACATATACCGCACCGAAAAATATTTGTCATTTGCAACTTGCCTACAGATTAATTTAAACTTTACCATGTTGTTTATCATTAACACTGCTTAATTTATTATGAAATCTATCATAATCCGGCGTGTACATAAAAGAGAGAGAGAGAAAGAGAGATGGAATGAGAGGGGGGGGGAAGAGAAAGCGAAATGGAGAAACAGAGATATATATGTATATGTATATAACTTAATCATGATAATTTCTGATTTTTATAAATATAAACTAATAATTAATTTATAATCATTTATATAGTTTTTCCATAATTTTACATTCTAATTTTGTTAAGTATTTTTTAAACGTTATTTCAATTTCTATGTTTATAATACGAGTGCAATAATCAAATTTTATGATAAATATATATATATATATATACGTATGTAATTTTAGCTATATTTTTATTTATAATTTTATATATATATATATTGTTAGTTTATGTAACTGTTAATATCTATAAATCTATAAATATGTAAATGGTTTCATATATAAACTAATAATTCGTTTATATATAATTTTATATATAGTAATATAATAAAAGCTACATACATAGTACTCATTAGAATAAAATTTGATTATTGTGTACATATTATGTATAATAAAGTTGAAATAACGCTTTATAAAAAATTTTAAACACTTAACAAAGTTACTATCAAATTATAGAAAATCTATGAAATTATAATGCAAACACACGAAAAACTAAAAAATACCTATTTTAATTAGAGTAAACAAGAACAGTAAAGCATTGTCATAGTCACACATAGAAACTGATATTTAAAATATTTAAAATATATTCTTTGAAACAAGATCGACAGAGAAAAACAACACAGAAAGTATTGTAGTATAGTAATTCTAATATTATACATTTGTGTATATACATAATGTACACACACACAAAAATGTACAATATTAGAATTACTGTTCTAATATGTACATAATGTACATTTGTGTGATGTTAATGAGTTTTATTAGACCAACAATAAAAAACAACATTGTGAGAATTTTTAAAATATAGATTTTTTATTCGTTAGATCTCAAAAATGGTTAGTTGCTGTTATGCAATCAAAGAATGCTGAAATGCATTAAAGAACATTCTAAACACTTAATGTAAATATTAACTGTTATTCACAATACATAATTCGAAAAAATACGTATGTTGATACAAATGCAAATATTGATTATAAGAAATACAAATACAATTTATGAAAAAAAAATTATGGAACAAAATACAGTAGATGTTAAGACTGCGACTATACTGGTCGCTATTCTCGAAATACAATTCGCAGAAAAAACTGATGTAAAAAATTGCAGTAAAACTTAGCATACATCTGTGTCGTCTACATATAATCTTTGCGTACATTTTTTGTAAAACTATCTACTTAAATACCTATTTAATTTGAATACTTATAATTACTTTAAAAATTAAAATTATTAAAATTATTATAATTACTTAAAATTACACATATATTAATATATTATTGTTTGCGCGTACGCTCGATTGCTGACGTTGAACGCTCACGCACGAAGCTACGGATCCTGACAATCGGGTTGTAAATCCGATCGTCGATATCGGTCTCGCGTATAGATTGCACAGGAAGATTCAAAGTGGACTGTATCTTAAGGAGGGTGGACGCGCTCCGATTGGTGCGCAGGATGGGTAACGATTTAAGCCACGTGCCGAATCGAGAACCAGAATACGGAATTATATGCACAAATTACACAAAAACAATCCATTTATTAACTAAATTTGTCCGAGAGTCACAATGTACATAAACGCAAATTAATTTGAAACCTTTACATAAAATCTTTATCTATTAACGAATAAAATAGTCACCGCGAAAACACGTACGACGTGGTTGTTAAGCAGTCCGAAATGTCTCACTATATGGTATCTAGCATGTGTTGCATGGACACCACCGAAAAACTATTTGTTGCATAACAATTGCTAGTTACGATGAACACGCTCGAAACTCGTGTATCGAATCGTTCGAAATCTCACATTAAGATTTCGTACACGTTGCCGATTGCGGCGAATGCGATATTAAATCGCGAACCGAAATGTTTCAATTAACATGAAGAATCACTGATCACATAAATGTTACAGTGCGTTGAGCACCACGGGCTCGAAGGGATGAAAAAAAGGAACGCAAACACAATCACGACATCAGGTATCAGTCCCAGATGACTGATCACGTGATCTGCGCGCTCCAACTCACGTGATCTACGCGTGCCAAGCGAACACGCGCGAGCCTCATGTATACAATTATTACGTTCGTGGAAACAATCGGACTTCGGCACCTTGATATTTCACCATTGCGTGAATTCTGGTCCCAAATCACTGAATTCCGCTTCGTTAACAATGTTTTGAGCGCAAATTTTATGTCGCGTATATAACGGCGCACCTTGTTGCTACCGTTAATTAGCGAATGTCAAAGTGAACGTATTTCACATCTCACTTATCACTGAATCACAGCAGAATATCAATCTGATTATTTTTTTTATTAATCAAACGAACTACGAACAATTAGAATCGCGACGGAAAACCCACATGTGACTAATCGCAAAGCCGTGCCAGGAGCGAATGCCCAGGTTCGATGACGAGGCAGTTCATCCCCGATCGATTCGATAATCGAACGCTTGAAGCGCGGCGTGTAGGTTCAGTGCGTGCTGCCCCGTGCCGGATTAACTCAAAAATTATAGAATTTCAAATTATCGACCTACTTCTTCATTCTCTTTGAACAAATAATAAAGTTCTTGACCTGGGGTCAACTTACTTCTGAACATACCGCCCGCCTCGAAATAAAGATTTCGAAATGTCTTACAGTAACTAAAGAACTTACCCCAGGTTTGGGTTTTTTTTTTTTGTTACATAAAGAAAAAAAAGAAAAAAATAAAACGTTAATCGCTTAATGATTTTTCGAGTGAGATTCAGTGATTACATATTGAACAATAACAGGCATTTGGTTGCTTACATGATTGAATAACAATATTAAGACATAGATTCTTACTAAACTTACATTAACGCGACGCGAGTGGTCTTGAGTAGTCAAGGATATTGAGCGCCGCCCGCCTTAACTAACTACGAAGGACTTGACTTGTCCTAATTATGCGAACGATTGAGACGTTGCATGCGCATTATGGAGTTGGGTTTTCCGCAGTACCTGTCTTACGTTCCGACAGTTGATCGATTAAGTTAATATCGATAGGTAGTAGGCACAATTTAGTTATTGGTCGCTTGTATTCGGACGTCGCTGTTTTAACTGAGACGACTCGAGTTAACCCGTCAGAGCCCGGATGACAATGAATAACTCGCCCTAATTCCCATTTACACGGTGGGAGAAGGGGGTTTTGAATCAAAACCATTGAGCCAACCTGAATCGGAGGCGTTTCTCGACGCCACTTTGATCTTTGTTGAAGAGTATTGACATAATCTGACTGCCACTGCTTCCAAAAACGCTCCGTAATCTGTCTGAGTAATTGCCATCGCGACAATCTGTTTTCGTTCAATTGTAGAACGGAAGGTTCCGGATTCGTAGTAATGGCAGTCCCAATCAAAAGGTGACCTGGGGTCAGGAACTCGTAGTCATCTGGAGTATCATTGAGTGGAGAAAGCGGCCTTGAGTTGAGGATAGCCTCAATTTTGCACAACACTGTCGTGAACTCCTCAAATGTCAATGCGTGTGAGCTTACAATTCGACGAAGGTGGTGTTTGACACTCTTCACTCCTGCCTCCCATAGTCCTCCAAAATGAGGAGCATGAGGCGGGATGAAACTCCAAGTGATCCTATCTGTTGCGATTAAATTGAGAAAATCCGTATTGCGTTGAGCATCCCGATACGCGCGGGATAGCTCTTTATCGGCTCCTGTGAATGTTGTACCGTTATCCGAATACATAACTGCTGGCAAGCCTCGTCTGGCGCAAAATCGTTGAAATGCGTTCAAAAATGCTGGCGTTGAATAATCGCTGACCAACTCGAGATGAATGGCTCGAGTTGCCAAACATATGAAAACGGCTATGTAAGCCTTTCGTGAGGTGATTCCTCGACCAGCAGAGGCTCGAATGAGCACTGGACCGGCATAATCGATGCCGCTGTGCAAAAACGCCCTCGTTGGCGTTGAGACTCGAGTTGATGGGAGTTGACCCATTAACTGATTGGCTACCTGAGCTCTTTCTCGCGTGCATCGAACGCACCTGTAGATAACTGATTTAACTAAAGGCCTAGATTTTATAATCCAAAATTCTTGGCGAATTTTAGACAGGGTAGACTGAAGACCGGCGTGCAGCGAGGCTATGTGCGTGTAGCGAATGAGCATTGTAGTAATTGGATGATCAGCTAGTAGAACTGGATGTTTGGATTGAAATGGTAGATGAGAATGCTCCAATCTTCCGCCAACGCGGAGTAGACCATTTGCGTCTAGGAATGGATTTAATGATATCAAGCGCTGTTTCTTGATAACCTCTTGTTTGACTTGAGTAAGTAAAGTTCTTGCTTGAACACCTCTGCTTGAATCATATGCAACCAAAAGTTACGAGACTGCATGTACTCAAATGCTGTAATGGCGTGGGACCGGACGTGATCTTTGTGATCTGCCGCGTGCTTCCGTTGACATTTGTTTATGAATCGGTATATATATGCAGTGACGCGTATCAATTTTGGCCACCATGAATACCGTGCAGCAAGACTCCAGTCTTCACGAGTACTGTTTTGATGAGCTTCACATGCCTTCAGTTCCAACTGAGTTTCGTGGTGCTCTGATAGAATTTGATGAGGCCACTCATCAGAATGAAGATGCAACCATGACGGCCCATGCCACCATAGGTTGATGGATATCAAATCTCGGCCGAGTAATCCGCGCGAAGCACAGTCTGCGGGGTTTTCACTGGTGTTTACGTGATGCCAACTACCGGTTGGTAATCGTGTCTGAATTTCGGCTACTCTATGAGCTACGAAAGTTTTCCAATTTGAGGGGTGCTTCTTGAGCCATGCGAGAACTACAGTGGAGTCTGTCCAACAATAAATCGCAATGTCGCTTAAATGAAGTGACTGCTTGATAAAGTCAATCAAGCGAACTAGCAGAACGGCAGCAGAAAGTTCGAGGCGAGGAACCGTCATTGGTTTAAGAGACGCGACTTTAGATCGCCCAGCAATGAGCGAGACCGTAATTTTCCCAGAGGAGGATGTCACGCGTAAAAACACCACTGCTGCGTAAGCGATTGTGGATGCGTCCGCGAACCCGTGTAATTCCACAGTTGCCGTTCCGGACTCAAAACCTGTCCAGCGACTCAGTTGAATTTTCGTAGATAGGGTAATGACTCGTAGATAGACTTCCAGGATGATAAGATTTCGTCCGGAATAATGTCGTCCCATCCGATACGGTGTCGCCATAATTGCTGCATGAGAGTTTTCGCCTTTAAAATCGCAGGTGTGACCCACCCGAGCGGGTCGAATAATCTTGCTATTGTTGATAGAATTGCTCGTTTGGTGTTAGGAACAGTTTCAGATAATGTAATTTGAAACTGAAAGCAGTCATGTTTCGGGTTCCAGACAATACCGAGGATTTTTAGACTGTCATCAGTCTCCAAATTTTTTGCGTAAGCCAATCCATGATTGTCAGGCTGAATATCTGAAAGCAATTCTGAGTGGTTACTGGCCCATTTCCGGAGATCGAAACCACCACGGTTCAGCAAATTACAAAGTTGAGTGCGAGCTTGCTTTAACAGTGTGATATCGTCTGCACCAAATAATACATCATCGACGTAGATGTTTTCTCTTAGGATGGGAGAGGCTAACGGAAATGAATCTCCCTCGTCACAGTTCAATTGTTGGATTACTCGAAGAGCAAGAAACGGTGCTGACGCAGTGCCGTAAGTAACGGTAAGGAGTTGATATTCCTGTATAGTTGAGTTGTGGTCGACCCACAGTATCCGTTGGTAGTCTCTATCTCTAGGATCGATTAATATTTGGCGATACATTTTAGCGATGTCCGCAGAATATACATATTTATATTGCCTCCAGCGCAATATAACTGCTTGTAGATCGGACTGCAATTTTGGGCCGGTGTACATGTGAAAGTTGAGAGACGTTCCATTGGATGTGAGGCAGGAGGCGTCGAACACGACTCTTAAACGGGTTGTCGAACTTGTCTCCTTGATGACTGGATGATGAGGTATATAGGTCGCTTGAACATTATTTGAATGCAAAGGAGCGACTTGCTTCATATGATTTAATTGCTCATATTCGCGCATGAAGTCCAAATATTCTTGTGCAAGTGTGGGTTGACGAGCAAATTTACGAATTAGCGACGAAAGTCGGCGTTCAGCTATGCTGCGAGAGTCGCCTATTTTAATAGGCGGGCCCTCTTTAAAAGGGAGTCGCACGACATATCTGCCATCTGCTGTTCTAGTATGCGTGCGTTGAAAGTGATCCTCGCATTGTTTATCTTCTATGGACGCATGAACATGTTGAGGAGTTTCTTCAACCTCCCAAAACTTACATAATTGCCGTTCCAAGGAGCAGCAGTGAGCAACTGCATGATACCTTTGTTGTGAACTGGGTAATGGTGAGCCTTGAGGTTGGGCTCCGACATGCGATGAAACCAAAGTAGAGCCGACTACATGGGTGTTTTGTATGACATGATTAGGGATTGACGTAGGTCCAGATAGAATCCACCCGAAATGCGATTGTATAGCGTCTGGTTGACCTATGGGTCCATTGCGTATATTGACAAGAACCTTGCTATACAAATCAGCTCCAATAATGAGGTCAATAGGAGTTGATCCAGTCGGATCGTCATCCGCTAAGGTCAAGTTGGAGATGTGTTTCCAGTCACGTAATGACGAAGCGTGTCTGGGAGCATACTTCGTCAATGCTCTCATGATGTAAGCTACCGTGGTGAAGGTTGGCTCAGGTTTATCGCGAGGCGAAATATTAATTAACGCGGCAGATCGGCATGTACCGGTATCTGCACAGCTAATCCCCGAAGTTGAAGTAAATGTTTGCATACGAGGTAAGCGTAAAATTTGCGCTACGCGTTCCGTAAGAAATGTGAGTTCTGAACCACCGTCAAGTAAGGCTCTGACAGTTAAGGAACGTCCAGAAAGCGAATGTATTTTCACCGTTGCCGTAGACAACACCACAGGAGTCGGTGATGTAGTTAACGTGACCGCTGAAAGCGCTGTGACATTTGATATATTAGTAACATTCTGCGAACTCGATGACGCAGGAATGCTCGTTGTTTGTTGCAATGAGCCCGAGTCAACGTGGATCATTGTGTGATGCCGCTTGCTACATTTGCGACACGTGAATTTACTCTGACAATTAAGTGCTACGTGCTTATCGCTTAAGCAATTGAAACATCGCTTAAGTTTCTTTATCAATTCGCGTCGTTGATCCGTGCTCATTGAAAGAAATTGTTGACACTTAGAGAGAAAGTGAGATTGTTTACAAATTGGACATGACAAATTAACTGACGCAGTTGCGGTGGCGCTTGTCACTCTCGAATGTGACTTCGTTTTATCGTGTTCGTGAGGATGGAGTTCCTCAAGCGCTATAGCGCGCGAAGATATGAAACGTATCAAGTCTTTGTACGTTGGAGGATTTTCGTTATCGCTACTCTTCAATTTCCACGCTCGACGCGTAGCAGAATCAAACTTTTGTGAAATGAAGTATACTAATATATCGCTTACAATATCCTCTGCTGTACGATCAAGACGTTTCAATGTCGCTAACGCTTGTTCCGTTTTATCTCGCAACTCGTGAAGTTCTGACGCTGATTCGCGAGTCATCTTTGGAAGATGATATAAGGTCGACACATGTACTTCGATCAACCGTCGTTTGTTCTCGAAACGCGTGGTTAACGCTTTCCACGCGACCTTAAAATTTTCGGCGGTTACTTTGATTCCTGATATCGCATCGCGGGCCGGACCTGTCAAACTAGAGATCAAAAAATGCATACGAGTGAAATTTGACAATTCTTTGTTATCTATAATCAACGACTGAAAACGGTCGCGAAAGGTCTCCCAATCCTCGTTTTTTCCAGAAAAAGGCGGTAATTTAATAGGAGGGAGATGCTTTAACGAGAATGACGATGCGTCCATTTGCGCAAAAGAAGTTTCGAGGGATGTATCTCGACTTACGACAGGAACCAGGTCTTCTAGACATTCGTTCATATGATCCAGGGCTGATTGATAGAGATCTTCGTGAAGGTCGAATTGATTCTTCTTGAAATAATTAATTGACCCTTGATCATCCTCTGGAACAAGTTGAAGCAGAATGGTGTGATTGTGCACACCTTGAGTCCATTGAGCTTGTAAAGTCGCAATCCGTGAGCGAACCCTTGCGGCCGTCAAATTAGAACGACCAATCTTTTTGAAATTGTCGAGAGCTCGAGCAATTGAGTGGAAGATAGTTTGCTGATTTGCAAGAGCGTCTTCCATTTTGACACTATAGTTGTTTATGAATATGTCACTAACACGATTGTCTACTTAAACGCGATTACTTGACTGACTGTATCTCGAATCACGCTGCACTTAAATATCACTGGTGTCCTTAATTCAGTGTTCTCGATTCGTCATTACTCTCCTATCCGGCTCGAAGGACCAAAAAATGTTTGCGCGTACGCTCGATTGCTGACGTTGAACGCTCACGCACGAAGCTACGGATCCTGACAATCGGGTTGTAAATCCGATCGTCGATATCCGTCTCGTGTATAGATTGCACAGGAAGATTCAAAGTGGACTGTATCTTAAGGAGGGTGGACGCGCTCCGATTGGTGCGCAGGATGGGTAACGATTTAAGCCACGTGCCGAATCGAGAACCAGAATACGGAATTATATGCACAAATTACACAAAAACAATCCATTTATTAACTAAATTTGTCCGAGAGTCACAATGTACATAAACGCAAATTAATTTGAAACCTTTACATAAAATCTTTATCTATTAACGAATAAAATAGTCACCGCGAAAACACGTACGACGTGGTTGTTAAGCAGTCCGAAATGTCTCACTATATGGTATCTAGCATGTGTTGCATGGACACCACCGAAAAACTATTTGTTGCATAACAATTGCTAGTTACGATGAACACGCTCGAAACTCGTGTATCGAATCGTTCGAAATCTCACATTAAGATTTCGTACACGTTGCCGATTGCGGCGAATGCGATATTAAATCGCGAACCGAAATGTTTCAATTAACATGAAGAATCACTGATCACATAAATGTTACAGTGCGTTGAGCACCACGGGCTCGAAGGGATGAAAAAAAGGAACGCAAACACAATCACGACATCAGGTATCAGTCCCAGATGACTGATCACGTGATCTGCGCGCTCCAACTCACGTGATCTACGCGTGCCAAGCGAACACGCGCGAGCCTCATGTATACAATTATTACGTTCGTGGAAACAATCGGACTTCGGCACCTTGATATTTCACCATTGCGTGAATTCTGGTCCCAAATCACTGAATTCCGCTTCGTTAACAATGTTTTGAGCGCAAATTTTATGTCGCGTATATAACGGCGCACCTTGTTGCTACCGTTAATTAGCGAATGTCAAAGTGAACGTATTTCACATCTCACTTATCACTGAATCACAGCAGAATATCAATCTGATTATTTTTTTTATTAATCAAACGAACTACGAACAATTAGAATCGCGACGGAAAACCCACATGTGACTAATCGCAAAGCCGTGCCAGGAGCGAATGCCCAGGTTCGATGACGAGGCAGTTCATCCCCGATCGATTCGATAATCGAACGCTTGAAGCGCGGCGTGTAGGTTCAGTGCGTGCTGCCCCGTGCCGGATTAACTCAAAAATTATAGAATTTCAAATTATCGACCTACTTCTTCATTCTCTTTGAACAAATAATAAAGTTCTTGACCTGGGGTCAACTTACTTCTGAACAATTATATTATATAAATTTGAAAGTTGAGACTCCTGGATACTCGCCGATTATGTCGGAATCGTGACATCATGCAGAGGCGAAAAAACACGATGAAAATTCTTGCGAAAATTTTTAAATAAAAGATATTTCAATAAAATAACACTACAAACGTCTTTGGCACACTTGTAAAATATATCGAAAACTAGCTTTTTCCCATTATAATCAATCAACAGCTGTAAAATGACTGTAATATCAGATCCAGTCCATCTGGTCTTTGCACATGTGCAATCATTCTACATGACAAAGTCTGATGTTTCAATTATTTTACAGGTGCTGATTGACTATCAAGAGAGAAGGTTAGTCTTCGGTATATTTTACAAGTGTACAAAGAGATTTGTAGTGTTGTTTTATCGAAATCTTTTTATTTAAAATATTCCGCAAGAAATTTCTCGCCTCTGACGTCAACACGTGGCTCTGACGTGGCTGCGACGAGTATACAGGAGCCTTAAAACCAAGATGTTAAATCAAAGCGCTTAGTGTAGTCTTAAAAAACATACATTTTAAGCAAACAAAATTAAACATAAGCTAATTGCACATTTATGTATTATTAGCATGAATTTGTTTTTTGTAAAATCCATTGCATAACTAATTCTCTATAAAAATAATTATATACAACTAGTCAATTTTGTACAATCTCTGGATTTCAATCACGAAAATTTCGTAAAAAGAAAAATGCATTCGTAAAAGAATAAAAGAAAATGTTAGTAGCGATTTAATGAACATAAACACTTTAAGTATTGACAAGTGATTTGAATTTCAGAGTTGTATGATAATATTAATATTTAAGTAATTAAACTATCTTTTACTTTATTATAACGTGTTATCTTCCAGACTTATAGTTTAATCATCTCTTTATTTTACAAGCATGCTCATCTGGAGACACCAAAAGATATTCTCTGGAAGATTTAAGCTAGTGCGGACTCCATTCTTAAAAGGAGATAGCACCTACTGATCTAAGTTTGATCAAGGACGTCGACCAATGCGGACTCTGTTCTCGACCAAGGACAGTCCCAGCACCCACTGGTCTAAGTTCGATCAAGGATGTCAACCAATGCGGACTCTGTCCTCGACCAAGAACAGTCCCAGCACCCACTGGTCTAAGTTCGATCAAGGACGTCGACCAATGTGGACTCTGTCCTCGATAAGGACAGTCCCAACCCCACTGGTCTAAGTTCGATCAAGAACGTCGACTAATGCGGACTCTGTCCTCGATCAAGGACAGTCCCAGCATCCATTGGTCTAAGTTCAATCAAGGACGTTGACCAATGCGGACTCTGTCCTCAACTAAGGACAGTCCCAGCACCCATTGGTCTAAGTTCGATCAAGGACGTCGACCAATGCGGACTCTGTCCTCGACTAAGGACAGTCCCAGCACCCACTGGTCTAAGTTCGATCAAGGATGTCAACCAATGCGGACTCTGTCCTCGACCAAGGACAGTCCCAGCACCCACTGGTCTAAGTTCGATCAAAGACGTCGACCAATGCGGACTCTGTCCTCGATAAGGACAGTCCCAACACCCACTGGTCTAAGTTCGATCAAGAACGTCGACTAATGCGGACTCTGTCCTCGATCAAGGACAGTCCCAGCACCCATTGGTCTAAGTTCGATCAAGGACGTCGACCAATGCGGACTCTGTCCTCGACTAAGGACAGTCCCAGCACTCATTGGTCTAAAATTAAGAGTACTGAGGCTATCTCTTTAGAAATAGTCCGCACTAACCTAAGTCCTCCAAGGAACATAAATATCTTCATCTGTTCGCTAAATGAGCATGTTGTAATAATAAAAAGCTATAAATAAGATAAATATGTAACCTACTTATATGTAACATATATCTATAATATAGTATAATATATTTGTGATATAATAATATTATATAATATACATATTGTAATACATTTGTGATATAATATTATTATATATAAATAC